TGCACACTGAAAAGTGTTAAAGGTAACACTGAATGGTGTGGTCACATATAGACACCATGCAGTGTTAATTTAACACTGGCACATTTGCTGTGCAACACGGCTCTCTGTACAGTTTAGCATTAGTAAAATGCAGGCTGGTTGCTGCACAGCCAAACAGAGGGTCATGTGCAGGATTTTTTAAAAGTCATGCAGCTTAAGATGGTTTTATGGTAATTAAACAGGCTGTTTTTAAGCTGTGTGTCTGTGTCATTTTGTCAACTCTCTGCCACAGTCATGTGACTCCACACTCAAAGATAGACATCTTAAATCCTTTGGACATCTGGTCGTATTATTAAGACTAATGAAGATGAAGCTTATCGTTTACAACCCCCTGCTGGACCAAAGCTCAGCTTGTGTTCATGAGGGGTGCCATGTAAACTCCTTCAAGAGTTCCTGGACGCGCTATCACAGCTACCTTTAATACTTTTAAAAATATTTAGTAAACTCTAATGTTATTAACTAGCATTTAAAACTGTCATCTTCTATACAAGAGCAGAGATAACAGCAAAGGTTCCCTATGGCTAGTATGGATATTTTCACACAATAGTCGTATGAAATACTCTCCTTCATTGTCTTCTGGCAGTCATTCAGAACATATCAGTGGGCAGTGGTGGCTTAATGTTAGGGAAGTGCACTTGTGATTGAAAGATTGCTGGTTCAAATCCCAGACCAACAAGGCACCAGTGCGGTACCCTGAGTGCTGAATTAGCTGCCCCCTGCTATGTAATGTTGTCACATATGAGTTAAATACAGAGGATACATTTTGCTGTGGTGTGTCAACAATGATGACTGATAACCTAATAATTTATCCTATACGGGGTGTGAGTTTTAAAGAATTCAAAATGAAACACTTCCTTATTCTCATAGATGATGAAATGCTAATATAATTGACATCATCTTGTAACAAAAGTGGTCTGACATCACAGTGCAGACTCAGATAATTTAATATACACTGTAAAACCTGACTAGTTAGTTTAACTCAAACTGTTTGAGAAAACCGATTACCTTAAATCATTTAAGTTTATGAACTCAAACGATTAAAGTTAAAATATTTTTTGTATTGAGTAAATTTGTCAGTGTTAAATTAACACTGCATGGTGTTTAAATGGGTGCACATTGAGTGTTACCTTTAACACTTTACAGTGTGCAGTGAGTCTTCTTTTTACAATGTTAATCTTTATTAACTCTAATAGTGTTCAATTTACACCATAGGGTGTTGTCAATGAGTCTCCACCTCCATATATCTGCCCCATTTTAATATGCGCACAAGAAGTCATGAGGATCAGAAGAGCCATCACAGATTTACCCACCGTCATGAGAAAGACTCTAACCAAAAATGACCTTACAGCTTTTTCTTAATTTGTCAAATTAAGTTGTATTAGTTTATATTATTAAGAAGTGCTGTTAGGTTTTACAGTGTGTTGTAATCTAGCCTAACAAACAAAACATGGAAATCCAAATAGGTCAAAATACTGGTTAAGGTCAGAAACATCTATCCATCATCTCCTGCTTTATCTGAGGTTGGGTCATGGGGACAGTAGTCTAAGCAGGGAAGCCCAGACTTCATTCAGCTCCTCTGGGGGAATCCCAAGGTGTTCCCAGGCCAGCTGAGAGACATAGTCCCTCTGGCATGTCCTGGGTCTTCCCCATGGCCTCCTCCCAGTGGGACATGGCTGGATCAGAAGAGCCATCCCAGATTTACCCACCATCATGAGAAAGATTCTGACCAAACAGGACCTTACAGCTTTTTCTTGTTTTGTATTAAAGTTTTGCTGGCTTGGTTCTGACAAATCTTGAAGATTAGAGCGCTGGGAGCATGTTGTTGTTGCATCAGAGAAAAAACTCTTGTAAATGTACAGGACGTGTCTCCAGATTGGTATATATATTAATAGCTTAACTAGAGAAGGCATTGGCTGGGAGGAAAATGCTATGGAAAACCAATTATTTAGTTTCTTTTATAAGTCTGCTCTTTCCAGGAAGATCGTTTGGATTTTCAGTATCTTTACAATTGAGATTACTTCAGAAATGCACATATGTAAGAACTACATTGCCCACATCAATTAACATACAATAGGCAACTCAAAAATACAGATAATGAGATGTGGTAAAGACTAATATCAGTGCCATAC